TATCATATCATATCATATCATATCATATCATATCATATCATATCATAATCTATCCATCCATATCTATCTATCTATCTATCTATCTATCTATCTATCTATCTATCTATCTATCTATCTATCTATCTATCTCATTTATCTATCATCTATCTATCTTTTATCTATCTATCTATCTATCTATCTATCTATCTATCTATCTATCTATCTATCTATCTATCTATCTCATTTATCTATCTATCTGTCTATCTAACCTTTCCCAGAAATTCCACCCTTGATTTATTTTTAAACTTCTCTTGCACCTGGGGGTGCTTCCCTCCACTTTCCGCCCATCCCAGCTGGGCCTGGAAAACATCTTCTTTGGCCTCTAGTTCCCCGACGAGCCGAAGATGGGTGTGAAAAAAGCCAGCCGCTCCTTAGAAGGGGATCTGTGGCTAATATTTTATACACGTTTTCTTTCTTGGATTTTTGAATGGAGCCTCATCGGACAACAGGAGTTGCGATGACCCAGGTGCCATCCTGCTTCCGGAGTCCACTCACCTGCTGTCCCAGAAACGGATCATCTTGTCGTGGTGGCCGCTCACAATGACGTTGTTGCAACACACAACATCGTTGCAGTAAGATAAGACCTGGATGGTCCTAGAACCTGCCGGGGTGGGGAGCAGTCAATCATTTGTGGGGGAGGGGGAGGCAGGGGGGGCTTCAGAAATTCCAGCAACCGGTTCTCTGCCCAGTTGCTGGGTGGGAGTGACCATGGCAGGTGTGGCCTAGTTGGCCTCCTGCACCACAGCAGGCTGTGGGGGGGGACGTTTCCCCGCTCCCCAGGAGGGCGAAAAAGTGGAATTTAGCGGTTCGCTGAACCAGTAATTAAAAATGATTAAAATTAGCTACCGGTTCGGCTGAACCAGGGCGAACCGAAAGCAGCCCAACCCTGGGAGGTTTCTCTGGGGCACCAAGTAACTCAACTGCAGTGGGGAGGTTCCAACCCTGCTGCTCCCCCAAAAGGTTGGCTACCACTTACATGCCACTTTGACCAAGTCCCACTCCTTCACGGTCCGGTCTTGGCTACCGGTAACCGCCTGGTGCCAGGTGGACCTGAACTGGGCAGCTGTCACTTTGTTAGTGTGTCCCGTAAGAATTTCCTAGATGGGTAGCAATGGAGACAGGAAGGAACGGATGGCAGATGTCAAATGAAGAGATAGAGACATTAATAATAATAATAATAATAATAATAATAATAATAATAATAATAATAATAATAATAATAATAATAATCATCATCATCATCATCATCATCATCATCATCATCATCATCATCATCATCATCATCTCTGGTGGGCGGAGAGACTCTGGCATAAACCAGTGCAGGTGGTTCCAGTGGTACTGGGCATACTGGGTGCTGCTGTGCCTAAAGACCTAGGCAAGCACTTAAAAACAATTGGCGCTGACCAGGTCACCACTGGTCAGCTGCAGAAGGCCACCTTACTGGGATCAGCTTGCATAATCCGCCGATACATCACGCAGCCCTAAATGCTCGGGAAGGGTTCGAGTAGTGATTTGTGATACGAAACCCAGCATGGTTATCTCCTCGTTTGCTGTGTACACTGTTGGTTTTTTGTGTATAATAATATGATTAAAATTATTAAAACATTTGGCCCACAACACACCTGACATTAACAATAGTTGAAACGGGAAAGGTTTGGTTCACTGACATTGCAATACCTGGTGAGGCACGAATTGTAGACACGCAGCAAGAAAAAAAAATCACCAAGTATCGGGACTTACAAATTGAAGTTGAGCGACTTTGGAAAAAGGAATCATGTGTTATCCCAATTGTGATTGGAGCCCTTGGAGCAATACCTAAAGGACCAGCTCACTGTTTGGAAATTTTGAATTTATCAGACTTGAATACCCTGATTCTACAAAAAAACCACCCTACTTGGAACAGCTTCTATCCTCTGATGCTACCTGACCAGTTCCTAGGTCCTTGGTGAGGACTCGAGCGGTTGAGCTACCAACCAGCCCCAAAGGTTGTGAATCTCACCAAAGATTAACCAATAATAATAATAATCCAGAAAGGTTCAGAAACCCAAATAGGGCTACCTAAAACCCCAGCAACCTTCAAAGCAATGGGTCAATCGCTCAAGAGGGAGTTGTACCCCATCTCATGCATCTGGTGGGTCTCCCAGAGGGCAAGGAAGACAAAGGCTATTCTGGATGGTTTTGGATGGTTGGCATATGGAGACGTTGCTCGGGAAACCAGGGTTTCTTTTGGAGAGGAAGAGGAGGAGGAGGAGAAGAACAGGAAGAGAAAGAAAGAAGAAGAGGAAGGAAGATTTAATAAGGAGGAGGAGGAGGTGATAGATAGGTAGATAGACAGATGGATGGATGATAGATGGATAGAGATAATGGATAGATGGATGGATGGATGGATAGATTAGATAGATAGATAGATAGATAGATAGATAGATAGATAGATAGATAGATAGATAGATAGATAGATGATGAATGGATGGATGGATTGGAAGAGGGAGATAGATGAGTAGATAAAGAGAAGAGAAGAAGAGAAGAAGTGAAGGAGACAAGGAGATAAATGAGGAAGAGCAGAAAAAGGAAACAGGAGAAAGAGATGGAGGATGGGAGATAGATGAGGAGGAAAAAGAGAGAAGAGGAGGAGAAGAGGAGGAGGAGGAGGAGGAGGAGGAGGAGGAGGAGGAGGAGGAGGAGGAGGAGGACAAGGAAGAGGATGAGAAGAGAAAAGTGAATAAATGAGGAGGAAGAGGGGAAAAGGAGAAAGACATGGAGAATGGGAGATAGAGGAGGAGGAGAAAGAGAAGAAGATGAGAATAAGAAGACAAGTAAGAAAGAGAAGAAGAGGAGGAGGAGGTACCACAAAACTTCCCTGACTTTGCTCTTATGGTCAATACAATCAATAACCAATAAAAGTGATTAGACCTCCCAGAGTTGACTTTCCTGGCCAGGTCTACCCCGTGGGGCTGACAGTGGGGTAAGACGAGGACAATCAAACCCCAGAGCTTCTGCCAATGCCACCAATCTCCATTAAACGTAGTTCTTGCCTTCTTCTCAACTGCTCCGATCCTGCTTTGGCCACCTTTGAAGTTCTGCCACCCAACCTCCTCTGAACAGATTTTAGCCAAGGAGGAGTGTGTGTGTGTGTGTGTGTGTGTGTGTGTGTGTGTGTGTGTGTGTGTGTGTGGTGGTTTTTCTCCCCACCCCACCCACCCAGATAACCCACCCCAGATGGACTCACCTTAATCCTGCTGTCCCCCACCTTCCATAACTGGGCCGCGTTGTCGTACGTGGCGGCTAAGACGCAACAGCCCTAAACAAGGAAGGGGGTTTGGAGACAAAAAACAGCCGCGTCAGGGGCATAAGAGCGTAAACCCCCCCAGCTACGGGGCAGGAAGCATCTGAAGTTCTCCTTGAAAGCTCTCCCCCAC